GGAAGGGCAGCCTGGAGGAAGGGAAAGCTGAGGCGGATCCAGACAGTCTGTGCAAATACCTGATGGGAGAGTATGAACACCATAGACTGTGCTCTGTGGTGCCCAGAGGCCAGGACAAGGGCAGTGTGAGTGTTATGAATGAGGCCAAACTTTCTCAGGAGAAAAAGGTTCTTTTTTATTTAAATAGCTACAAGGAACAGAGTGCCCAGGATAGGCCCGAGCACTCACTCAGTGACTCAAAAACAAAACAGTACGTGTTCCCAAACGTACTGGATTCTCCCCAGAAAACAAGTTTCCAAAAAGAACCAAGCTAAATTGAACTTCCCCCTTTTATAGCCCACTTCGATTCCAGGATTGGTGGATTTTGGATCCGCATGGTGATTGGTCCGCTTCCAGGCCTCTCATTGGGCTTTAATGCCGTTCATTCTGGACCAATCATTTCTGCAGGGTGTTGAATGATTGGTCAGATCTTCCATCCAATGTTCTTCAGCCTCACTCTGCCCGCCTGACTTGCTCTCCACCAAACCCTGGACCCTTCCTCCAGAACATTCTAACAATTCTAACTCTTAACATAACATAATTAATACAATGTAATTGAATTCTAATCTAATTTAACATAACTTTTACTTATAACATGAGGATAGTCAAACACTGGCACAGGCTGTTTAGAGAGATGATGGAGTCTCCATTCTTGGAGCTACTCAAACCCCAATTAGACCCAGTCCTGGGCAAGCAGCTGTAGCTGACCTTGCTTTGATGCAGAGCTGGATGATGCACCACAGAGGCTGTTTAGTAACTGCAAACATGGCCGGCATTATGGCTGGTCTTAGCACAAGCACAAAGCTTGTGGGTTCAGGTCGTGTGGGACTCCTGAGGAGCTGCCCAGAGCAGGAGCTGTTCATCCAGGCTGTGGCTGGGGGTCTCACACTGAGGTTTCCAAGGTGAAAATGTGACATGCATTAGCAATATTACTTGGTACTCTACTGTATTGCACTGAAAGATTTACATGGTCTTGAAAGCAGTCATTATACTATTTGGTTATAAAATATGTAAGTATGCCAGATGCAGACATGTCAGCTTCTTGGAAGTGGGAAATAGCACTATTTTTGCACTATAGTTGTTTGGTTTTCTTTTTTTTAAAACCAAAACCAACATGATAATTACAGAGGAAGCCAGTTCTGCAAAATAGCAGTGTTAAGCTACTCTCTGCTGAACACGGTAAAAGTGCTCTTGTATGGACAGTACAAAACCCAAAGACACAGAGCAGTGAATCCCTCCATGTTTGGCACTAAAGGAATAGTGTTCCTTTCCTAAGGAACCCAGATACGGCCCACCTATCACAGACCAAACCAAACACCCTGTGCAGCTCTATCCACCATCTTCTGGGATCCTGCATCTTCAACAAGTTCCTACAATTTATAGCCTCTGTTTAAAAATTTAAAAAAAGACCCATCTGGCTGGTTGCAGTTAGGTTTGACACACAAAAGTGTAACTCAGCAGTTCCTCCTTGCAACTAGTTCTGCTTTGATGGAAAAATAAGAACGGACAAATGAATACAGGCAAAAAACCAGTTCAAAAGTGCTGCAATGGTGTGGATGTTACAAGATGTTGGCACTAAGTACGGCAGACAGGATTTTAATCAACATCAGCTATTTTGGGGAGGATGATGTAGTTGCCTGCAGGGTGTGACTCACAGTTCTTGACAATGAGCTGTGATTTTATATATAATTCTTATCCTGCAGCAGCAATCAAGTCAGAACAATGTTATTTACCAGTGAAACTCAGCTTTATCCCAGAAGGATCACCTCTGAAGTGTAACAGTTAATCTCGCCCTTACTGTGGATTTTACCCACTATTAATGAGATTAAGGATCTCGTTTCTGTAAGCTTTAACAGACAAGAAAATTTATTAGCACCCTTTGAAGTAGTAGCCTAAAACTGAGTATCCACTACTCCTATCATTTCTGTATGCACCTCTGAAGGTCAAATAGTACTGAAAATTGTCCCATCAGTAGAAAAACAAATTTCAGTATAACGCGTGACTCTTCATAACCGCAGCAAATCTCCCTAGGGATCTTCTTTCTGTTTCCAAAGCTTAGGAGAGGTTGCTTGATGAACGAAACTGCCTGTTGGTGAGACCTGGGAAAGAAACAGCTATAAAATCCAGCTCTCTTCTAGAAATGCTGCCAGACTGTATGGCAGTGCACCCTTCTACACTGGTTCTCTGCTTTGAAGAATCTTTTTCTCCCCAACTTTCACCAACTTGATCCCCTATTCCCCCTGCAAATGCAAGGCCCTGCCATATTACAGATCCTGCTGCGGAACTTCAAGGCCAGAAATTTCATGGAACTGTCTAAATCAACATTTAAGTCTATTAATTTTAGCATCAGTGAAATACCATACATGGATTATAAAATCTGTCAGTGGATTATAAATCTTAAGATACTATTAAGTAAGCATTGTCTTGAATACTTCTGTTGCATTTCACTTTAACCCCAGTGGTGGAATTAACAAGACCTAAGAGGTCCCAGCTCCGTAAACTTTTGATGAGTTGTCCATTCAAACATTCCTAAATGCAGAATGGGTTGAAAAGCATTTGGGGAAAAAGCCCAGGAGAGAAGGCCATTATCCCTCTTTGGCCAAACACAGAGAGATTCTGCTGTACATCCCTGCATTTTCTACTGCCTCTGTGAGGTAGGTGACATTTTCCACACTCAGCAGATGGCAACTGGAGACTGCTGTACTGCACACAGCCTGTAAACATTATTTTTTGAAGCTGTAAATATCTCATTGCACATTCTTTAGTAACTGTAGTTGAGTTCTGAGCACCTGTCAGTAACAATAAACTGAGATTCTCTGGGCAGGTGTATTGCACTGTGGTCTCATTAAGTTTACCTGCCATTACAGCTGGGAAAGAAGTCAGCCAGCTCCAAATTTTTAGCCTGTGAGGCTTTGCCTTCTGGAACACACAACCAGTAGCTGACCCTGAGACAGCAGTATCATTTGACAAAACAGGAGGAAGAACCAATTCTTATCACATACATCAGTCACTGCATGTGTTTTAAGACTTTTACCAGCACTATGTTTTGTGTTATCTAATTGAATAAGGAGGTAAAAAACAGTCTTGTTTATTCTACTACTTATGTACTCATTGCTTGACATACAAACAACAATCTGTATGATCAAGTATATTGTTTATTATTTCAGGGAACAGGATGCATACTGTGGACTTGGTCAACATCTTCATTTCACTGCCTTTTGCTCAAACGCCAGCAAGACTGTAGCACAGACTACCTAAAGGAGTTGAACAACAGTGTATATGGATGATAGGTGCAGAAGGGAGAATTTAACACAGATTTAAAATTATTTGTTTTGTAGAGAGCTGACTGCATATGCAAATATAACTTCACACAGTTATGACCGTAAGGACCATCATCAGTAAAAACACCAAGAGCTGTGCTGCCAAGGCTGACAGCTCATGTACCTCAAGCGAAGCAGATGCTATGCTGCCCAACAGCATCACACTAGTGTGCTCACTGAGCAAGCCCAAAACATTTTTCCCATTGAAAATTGTCGAGGTTCTGGGGTTGGGATGACCCTGAGGTAGCAGAAAGTCTTTTTGCTCCCAACCCTGCAACCAGAGAAGTAGAGATTCGTCAGTTCTGCTTTTCAAGGTTGTTTATTTTTCCTTATCTATAACACTCTTTCCCTGACCAGCTGAGATCTGTCCAGCAGGTTGGGTTCCGGCACACAGTTTGCCCTTGGGGTGGTATTAACATTTTATACTAAGAACTACGCGTACTTTATTTACAATAATTTTCTAATACCTATCACCTGTGTTAGACAGTCTGTGCCTCTACTCTAAACCAGTCAAGAAGTGTCACCATCATAGCAGAAGATGGAGCACAAGAAGAAGAAGGACAGGACACGCCCAAATTCCTCCATCTTGCCTCTTGAACCCCCATTCTAAAACTCCAAAATCCTACTTTTTCACCCTGTGACAAATTAACTATCATTCTACTCAAACTCTTGTGGCTTGTAAATCTTGACACAAAGTTGGTAGTTTGTTCCATGGGCTAAAATCGAAGGCACAGTTGTTTTTGTCTCTGTGCCTAGGTCTCTGAGCCCCCTGCCAGGGTCTAGAGTCATCCAGGGCAGTCAGTGGAATATCCTGGGTTTGGTCAGAAAATGCATTACTACTGCTATACATCACACACAGTTCCTCTCAATCCTTGGAATAGTTTGGTCTAGAAGTAAAAGTTTCTATGACAAAGTTCACAGCTGCAATAACTACAGACTCAAATACACCACGTTTTGTTTGTACTGGCTCTTTTGTTTAGACTGACAGACTCATACAGAGAAGTGCAATGGATTGTTTCCATTTTCTTCTAGTCTTGACATTCCATATTCAAAATTAAAAGTTGAGTTATTTTGAGGGTATAAGGAGAATCTCAATCCCATCTTCAGCAGATGTACAGTTACAGCACAAGGCATCTACAGCACTTGACTGGGGCTGGGCTCCCTCCCCAAGCAGAGTTTGAACTGCTGACTCCCATTAACCACATCAATCCCCGTGGAGACTCTGCATACACTATTTACTTTTCCAAAATATGCCACGTTCTAGGTTCCTCTTTGCTGCTCCAAAAGCAACTTTGCACTTAAGGAAGATACAAATACAGTGTGACTAGTCTATATAATCAACACCACTGGTCTTTACTACTTTGTAAACTGCTGGTTAAGCTGTAAAAATCACTTCCTTCAAGTCAGCACTATAGGTATCAAATAAGTTAAGAAATTCTCCTCTCTGATTAGTGAAGGTCAGCCTCTGTTGATTCTCCGTATCAAATGAATTTGAAGTTTTCATATCAGATACACTGACTTTGCTCATAAATACATTTTAAGAGGACAGGCAAAACATATTAAGAGTCCCTCTGGTTTATGATAATGTTCTTAGGAATGCAGAATTAAATAAGAATACAAAAAACATTGAATGCAAAGTTAAATACAATACAAACTTTATTAAAAATAGGTTGCAAGTGAAATACAGTAGAAATGGGAAACTACAGCAGTTTTGATGTTGTTTTTTTTTCAAATAATGCACAGACAAATATGAAAAGCACTTTTACACATATTCACACTTGACCCGAATGCCCAATAGCGGCCAAATCCACTCAACTGAAGGTTATAGGTATTTTTTTGCTAAGCCTTTTTCAGAGTCTAGCAGCAACAGTAATTCAGCCACAGCGTAAGTTTTTTCCTCAAGAAAAATGTGTCACTGTAAGGCTGCTAGTGTTCTCAAGATAAACTGGGAGAGGCTTGCTTTTGCTGATGAACAGACAAAGCAAGCATGCAGATCCTTCATTAACACTTTGAACCAGTTTAGTCATCTACTTCATATTTAACAGGTGAAACGGTAAAAGCACACTTTCAAATAAGAAACCTGAAATATGTAAAAAATATTTACACTCCAATTTTCTTTAACTTGCATTTATTTGTCATACAACTCTTATTAAAAGTGATTTCTTTCCTAAGGCAGTGAAAGTCTACCCCTTTGTATTTGGAAGTGTGCACAAATCCCTAAATATATATTTATAAGAGAACAATATGATACAGGGAAAAAAAATCATCTAAAGCCAGTAAAGGGCTCTGTCAAATAGAAAATTTGTTTGGAATCACAATATATATTGTCTTAACATCACACAATGAGAAAGACTCTGATGAGGTCCTTATTCCCAACATCATCAGCCACGTAAGCATAGCTGAGGAAATAGTGGGAGGAAAAAGATTAACAATTAAAAATTAAATAAGGCTATAACAACAGTGTGAAAAATTAGCTTGAACTGCCAAAAAGGCTTTCAGTACAACCTTAATAGGATGCCAGTAAAACCAGCTAGACAGAATGGGAGCTCACTAGCACTGCTTCCTCAGCATGAGCAGGGATGGTTCCTTGCTAGTACATCAGCTCTGTTAATGACCTTATGAATGTTCCCACTTCCAGACTGCAGTACTGTATTTGATGCTTTACACTTCAGTCTTCTTCTCTAATATGCCAATTGATACCTCCATAGAAAAAAAAAATATTGCTGAACTGATAATAACAGACTCATCAATACTGTTCCAGGCCTAATTGCCCAATAACTTCTAACCTGAATTTCTCAGAAAACATACCCACGTGTTCTGCTTACCTTCTAACTGTAATCCTTGCCTTTAAGACATTACTAACATTTTGGTCCTAGCTGATGAAGGGCCACTAAGTGTAGCCTACTATCTATTGCTTATGTAATTTTTAATGAAACAGTTATCCAAAGGTTGTTATCTTCACATTTTTTCAAAGTCTGAAGCACATATAATGGGGATACAACAACGTAGACTTTTCCGTAACTACAGATAACATCTTAGGCATTCATTTGAGACCCAACAAATACATAGGAAAAGAGATATTTTTATTCCAAGATTCTATCTAGAGAATGTGTGTTATGCCAGTACTATGTAATGGTAAGATCTGTATTGATATGCTGATCCTTCTATGAACACCATACAGTCTGTCACACTTGCATATGAAACCTTATTTAAGGTGGCCCAGACATTGGCTTCTTGTCAAACAACCTAAAATACTAATTTCTAGTGCACAGTTTAGTTTAGGCAGTTCAAGCTATTCTCACTCTCTCTGCTCAGCAGCTAAAACAAAAGTGTGTCTGTAAAACACCAGGAAACAGAACTTATCTTTGACAAGTGCTACTTGGTCTGGTGCAAAAGAACTTTACCCCCAAAACAGAAAAAAAGTTACCTTCACGTGATTCGTATCTTTAAAATTTTACAGTGCTTTCATTGTATAAACCACAAGCTTCTGGCAAAGTAATCAGAGTTTTCTTGCTATTGCAACATCTCTAAGTCTTAATTAACAGTCTTAGATATAAAGGAATCAAAGTCATTCCTTTCAGAAAACATTAATTTTCTGTTCATACTTAGTAGTGTGCTCCCAATCTCAATCCCTCAATTTGGAGATCATCCATTACATCTGATAAGGTGCTTTCATCTTATTTTGTGTTCAACTCATTTTCCAGTTCCATTAGTTTCCTAGAAGCTTTTACTTTATTGGATACATCCTGACCCTGTGAAAAAAGTCGCTGGCGTTCCCTGAACGTCAGGTTTTCTGGTGCTCCAGGTAAATCTGCATCTTGACTGGAAAGGAAACAAAATATTTTTTATAATTCTCACCTACAAGATCCTTAAATATAATCATTCTTGATGACATGTAATGACAGCTGTTTTGACTACAGCAAAGCAGTCTCCATTCTGTGTTCTGAAAGGTTTTGTTCCTCACATATACCTTTAACTCTGACATTGTGCTATCACTTAAGAGAAATTCATGACTTGACCATTTATTGCATGTCAAAATAAATGGAAATGCTTGCCAATTTCCAGCATGAATGGCAGGTTATAAACTAAGGCTCTGCCTGTGTTAGCACAGCATTACTGCTCTCACTAAACTAGTAAGCTTTTCTGTGGTGGTACATGTCTAAGAAAAAGCACTGGAAGACAAACCTTTTCTTGTCCCACCATCAGTATGCTACATGGTAAAGCCCGTATAAGATATATATACAACTTAAATCTTTTATGCTTATTACAGGTTTTGTAAGAATGCCACTGGAGAGGTACTGTTCAGATTTATAAATACACCTAAACCAGCTGAAGCTGCTCATTTACAGTGATCATTTTGTTTACTTAGTTGTAGTGCCAAAACTCGTTGCTGTTCAGTAGTGCTTCAGATCATCTAAGGACTTGTGGAGAGAACTTAGTTGTGTTTTATAGTAACCCATAACAGAGCCAACAGCAGAACTCTGGAGCAGCCCCCAGAGATACAACAATGACAACAGAAAATACTGCAGAAGCTAGCCAAGTCAGTTGTATAAAAGTTAATGGACTCCTGTATATCACCTTTTAGATCTTTTGTCTCTTGGATCCCGATAAACTTCCCCAGCAGCTGCTCCAGTAGATCCAGTGTATGAATTTATTCCTTATGCAAAAGAAAGAAGTACGTTTAAGGACAGCAGCTACAACACAGAAGTTTTATACTGTATTCCTTCAAAAAGGTGCAGTGCTTCTTTCAAGAAACAATCTCTAATGAGAATCATAAATAATCAGAAGTCATCTGACCTCTAGAATATTTAATTTCAGTACTATTAAATTCAAACCCTCTTAAATGGCCTATTTTTTTAATTCCTAATTTTGAGTCAAACCTCATTCTGTTTAGATTATCCAACACATGCCAAATCATGGTCTTTATCTTATTATGCCTTATTGTAAAACAGATACTAGAAGCAGTTCAAGGAGATCAACACAGTGCAACACTCTTCATTATCCTGTGACAAACTTCACAGGAGGTAAGTTAGCTGTAGCTCCTCCCTTTCTGAGGCTAAAAGTAAGGAAAGATGAGTATGTACCATCTTTGCAATTCAGGAGAATCAAAATTTTAGTCTCTGTTAAGTCTGATACACAAACTGTATCACTCAGAAGATGGCCCCTTCCTCCTGCTCCTGAATTTAAATTTCAAGTCTTGCAGCACTGCACCTTTAAGTTGATACAACACACAGATTTTACACATTATATTAATTCCTTGTAAAGGCCACAAGACAAAACCTTTTATTTCCAATTAGAAGTTTAATAATTTAATTTATATTTAAGACCATATTATCTTAATAACTGTCAGGAAAAGAGTAAAAGGAAGTGTAGCACACGACTCAGATTTGTCTTCAGATAGTTCTATTCTCAATATTGTACATGTTATGTCTTGTGAACCTTCTTTGGTACAAAAGGAGATGTTTGCTTCTTCCACTGGTACATCTAACTTCTCAGAAATATTCAGTAATTCTGAGTGAGGCTAGAACACATAAGACAATTTAGCTAATGTGCTGTAGGCCAAATTTTTTCCACCAAAAATTTGCAGCATACCAAATCATACTAGGTATGCCAGGCATATAAAGATTTTTTTCCTCTCAGTTGCGAGTCTTACATTCCTGTAAGTAATGCCTTCCCTACTTTGAAAAGCTTGTGTCTGGATCCACAAGCTGTGGGTCATGGTTTCATTTGCATTTGGATAGTGGTTTTCATTTGGGTGTTGACTTTTTCTTTGGTGAGCTGACAGACCCAATGGTCTTTAAAGACCCAGTGGAAGAAAGCACAAGAGCAAAATTTGCAGAAGCATGGTTTACTAGAGTTAACACTCAGAACAGGAAAGAGCTGTAAAGGACAGGAATGTAACAGAGTCAGCGAGATGGGAGATGGTCAAACTGCACAGTGAATTCTGCATTTTGTGCAAACGGCTTTGTACATTACGCAGGCAGTCTTCATAGAAGCTTGAACAATCAAGTGAAGTAAACCTGTTCTCATGGCTAATTTAAAAATTATGAAATAAGAGTATTCAGAATTAGTTGCATGGTTTATGAATTAGGCTATTAATGGCGAAGCATCATACTACAATATTCCTTAATTGTTACCAAAACCCTAACCAAATCTTTGTAAATTGTCCTTTCGATTTTTTTCCAGGACCAACAAATGTGCACAAACAATATCACTGAACATTTCACTTTCCTGACATTCATTTTTCAATTAATATTAAGCAGAGCAGGATTAGAAATGCAATTATATACTAAACGGCATTCTGAGTTGTGGATGATGGGATGCAGGGAGAGTGGTGGTGACAACTAGTGATTAATGGCTCTAGGGTTGCCTAATTCATGACATATACAGCCTTTAAAGTGCCAAATAGAGAAGGGAAGCAACGGCTTTTGCAAACCCACGTGCTGTGATGGAAGGCACATTTTACTTTTTATTACAGTCAGTTTGAAACAAGAATTCCTAGAAAAAGAAAGTCCTTTGAAAGGAAAGAAATTAAGTACAGACATACAGTACCAATGTTTCATGTCAAAAGCACGCCATTTCAGAATTTTCTTAATTCTTTGTGATACCTGGTGTTCAAAAGCTAAAGTCCTTCTGGTACAAAATTGGCTATAGGTTTATCAGTGATTTCACATGCACTGTAGTAGGTATTATGGTAGTACACAGCAGGTAGAGTCCAGAATTATACTCCAGTCTAATGAAAACACATTGAAAAACTAAAACCTTCCCTCACCTTTCTTTAAGATTCAGAGCCTATTACAGAGCCAGGCAGGAGTGACAGTGGGTTTGCAGAAGAGAGGCTATTACCACAGAGACTACTACATCCTGATATCTCACAGGCAACACCAGTGTAAATTACCAGGCTTCCCCCACCTTTACCGGAGAATCACAGTGGATACTTTTTTTATGCAACTTGGGTGTTGTGCTGACCACAAAGAGTGGAACTACTGATCATCAACTGCACCAGTGGGACAGTAATTATAACTGAGCTAAACTGTCCCTTCAGCAATATTAAAAACTACACAGTACTGTGCAGAGCTTCTCTTCAGCACAGGAAGCAGTTCAATGGTAGCAGAAGCTAATCTGCCCTGCAAAAGAAAGGATGCTAATTTTCCTTGCTGGAAAAGGATGACTTGAGCCTCAACTGAACAGGATGTGGACAAGCAGTTCAGTGGCCTTGTATATATCCTAAATTAGATTCTCATGCTATTGCAGCTGGATTAGAAGTGCTTCTAATAGATGGAACCTATTTGGAAGCTCATATCCTCCCTATGCCCAGGGCACACTGCTGAATAAAGGAAGTGAGCAATTTTCCTGATTTGTTAGGTGGCCAAAAAAGTGATGAGGGATATAACATACTATAGGATTCCACCTGTGCCACTAAGACTTGAATCCAGCAAACAAGTTGATGATTCAGCTAGAAGCCAGCATAAACACCTTCCCTTGGGATCTCAGGTGACTTGCTACCTTGTTCATTTTAGAAGGATGAATTGATCACATAGAGTTGGTTGTCAGGCACTTGTTAACCTCCAGTGTAAGGAAAAAGAATAAACTAGGACAATGTCCTGGCCACCATCTTCAAGAGAATATAGAAGAAAACAAATGTAGAAGTACCAGCAGATGCTGCTGTTTAAAGACGAAGTATTATATCAATAAAGTGCAATCTTATCAGAGTGAGACCTACTGAAAGTGTCAAGTATACAAGATTTCTCCTATACAGCAGCAGTTAAAAAAAATCCCCAAACTTTGGACTGAATTAGCTTTGAATTCAAGAGTATAGTTCAAGTAGTACTCTGCAGGCAAAATACAGTGCTAAAGTTACTGGCAGCTAGAACTCTAACTGAAATTAAACTTCATTATGGTTGGCTTGGAGTTATACTACAACAAGATGAGGAGTCAAAGAAACACAGAGGTGTAGAAAGGAAGGGAAGGAGTAAAGCAAACAGTACTAAGATGAAGTTTACATTTTTTTGTCTCTCTGCAAGGAAACTGCACTGTACAAACCAGAAATTCAGGAATGGTACCTAATACATGAAACTAACTGCAAGACCTGTACTTCTCTTGGTGCTTGTGTATTTACATCTACAAATGTAATTTTTAAAGCCATTTGCACACTCTATTAAAAGAAAGAGAACCCTGGTACCAATAACAAAGCAGAAGATAAGTTCTGTCCATGAACCCATCAAGAGAGGTTTCCTGTGTTCAAGAAAGGTGCACTTCCAGATGCCCTGAATAAACAGTAGTCAGTCATACAAAACAAATCACTTAGAGATACAGAGTGAAAGCCAAAACCAACAGTACTTCAAACTGATTGAGTTAAAATAATTTCTGATTCATACATGAAAGATGGAATTTTTGCTTTTGAAAAGTTTGGGTAAAGAGCAAGAAAATTTGAGAGATCAAAGTAATTAAAAATTGAAGGATTCATATTAATATCAGGATTTAAGTTAGATCACCAGAGTGAAAACAGTGATTAAGGAAGGGGGAAATCACAAAATAAGTGATTCAATCTAGAGCCCTGGAGTTGAAAATATGAGGACAGTTTTGTAGAGATGACTTATTTCATTGTTTCTACCTTTAGAGCTGTTGGCATGGATGAAACTTGGTTTGTTTGATGGGAGCGGGGGCTGGCTTTTTTTGACAGTAGTACTGTTGGCATTGACGGGAGATGACTGGAATGAGTTGGAAAGAAAGATGCCATCTGAAACTGGGCGAGGCTGGCGGGAGGGCTGCTGTGGCTTAAGGGTGGCAGGAGGAAAGTCACCATAAGATTTTCTTGTGCTGGAGTACTTATCCTGACCTCCTAGATTGGAATCCTCCTCCTCATCATCATCATCATCATTGTATGCAACAAACTTGGCAGTATAAATCGTGTCAGGGGAGAGGACCTGTGTTTTGAGGTAAGAGGTGTTTCGCTGAGGTGGGGGAGGAGGAGCGTTAGATGAAGGGGTTAGGGATGGGAGTTCATATTCCCGTGGAAGTGGAGGTCTGTACAGACCAGGCTCGTCAGGTTCCAGCAATCTTCGTTCAGCCTCATCATGCTGCCTGCGCCTTTCAGCCTCTAAGCGACTGTAATACTCCTCTTCCTGGCGCCTCTGAAAGCCCAGAGGAAACAGAAACACAGTGGTCAGACATTTCAATCCATGAGATTTAAGCTTTTCATCACTAAGCTACAAACATCTTCTGTCAATCTTTTTTGTCTCCTTTTCTGGCAATAAGCAGGGCATCTATATGGACTTGTACAAAGAATATTTACTACTAAGAGTGAATGTTTTTTGTGGGTGCACTGGTGTTTGGCCAGTGGTTAAACCATCACATTTGCAAAAAAACAGCAGCCATTCCAGTAACACCCTGTGTTACTGGATGGCTGCAGGTTTACCACTGCCTATGGTCACTAAAGCAACTGCCTGTGTAAACTAAGGGCATTCCAACATTTATTACTCAAACTGTAACTACAGTTAATAAGGTGCAGATTTACTAAAGCTGTAGAGAATCTGTGGGAGAGGAATATAAGTAAAATTAACTACAACCTTAAAAAGGAACGTTGTAATTTTGTTTCATGCTTATACAATGTAAATTAGTCAACAGAGCCTTGGAATAGATGACTCCTAACAAAGTTTCTAGTATAAACATCAGGAAAGCTTCTTTCACGCAAAAAAATTATTACAAATAAATTTTCAAAAACAGGCATCAAACAAATACTGTTAGAAGGCATTTAAAACAGAAACTATGCTAATATTTATATGAGGTTACTGTCTTCTATGTATTCTTCCTCTTTACAAGACTGTTCTGTTTTTAAACTAAATTAAAAGCTGTTGTCTCAGACACATTGTAAACTAATGTAAGGGTTTATTCAGTAGTTTGATAACAAATGAGGTGTATTTGGGAACTGTATGTACATTACAAAACCCTTTGGGTATAAGTTTAGTGTAATTTCTGCTAGGAATATGTTACATTTGAAATAACCATCATTTCTGGTTTTAATCCACATGCTTTAAAAAATCCACCTTAAATGTTTATCTGTCCAACACTGAGTCAGTTATCCTGAAAAAATAATAAATAGATCTGATCTTGTTCATCTGCAGCAAAGATGTGAAACTCATCTCCTTGTACTACTCTCTAAAACCATTTTACTGATGGTACTGAGTTCTGAATTGGTAGAAGCATCTCAGTCAACATCTGTCAGTGAAAACTCTTTCAAGTGTGATCCAAATGTCATTTGGCTGCATCATTGTCAGAAGTTAAGAAAGCCATAGTTGTTTTCTCTTGGTTGCATTTTTTTAAGGTCCCTACAGTCTACTTTTAAAAATTTTCCTCACTTCAGATACATCTTCCTCACTACTCTCTTTTTACTACTTCTTCCACTCATCAAACCATACTATTTATGGGAAACAATTTAACAAAGCTTGAAAAATAAATGAACATAGTTAAGGTATTTAAAGTTTGGGGGCTTTTAAAATGTATTTGCACCTTCCAAGATGAACAATTTAAAAGCTAGCCTTCTTTCTGAAGTCAGTGTGCCTAAAAGGCAAACTGAACGAAAGTAACTGCTTTCTCTAGGAACAAAAAGGTCTTAAGAAACATGCTGAGTCAAATAAGTTGCTGTGTCTTCTAGTTTTATCAGTAAAGCTTGTCCTATTCATGTATAATGTTTGAATTGAACCTACAGCTCTGAATTTTTATAATTTGACTGCACATTTATCTGCTGAAATTATTTACTTGCTTTCTAGAAACCACTTTCCTCCTACATTCCAAACAAAAAACCAATATGGAATATTCATCACTACTCATTGGATTTCATAATTCTCTCTGTATCTATATTAAAAAATACTAGAGAATATCTAAGTGCCATCTACTGGGACATAGAAAAACCCAATAGCACTAACTGAGCCATGATAATAAAAAAGGTATGCAATTTATGATGGGAGCTGAAGAGAAACAGGAAGTACCTGATTTCTTCCATAATTTTCAGAAAGGCTCTGAAAGTAAGAGCCTTGCTACTGCTAAAAACCTTCAGGCACTAAGCCCGCAGTACTACTTCAGCAATACCAGTCAACTCCAGCCAGCAGGAATGGGCTGTTTGTTTAATTCCTTTTTGGTTTGGATAGAACAAACTGAAGCCTTGGGCCATGACCCTTATCACCAGGGCTACTGTGTTTAAACCCTGCTGACCCAACACTGAGCTGGTACTGGCCAGGCTGAAGAGGAAAGGCCTGCAAGAACCCCTGTGGCACTCAGAAAACCACAACCTTTTCTTCAGCCTCTCTCCTGGTCCGCTCCTCCTCTTGCTGTCTGCGCTCTTCTTCCTGCCTGGCCCTGTCTTCTGCTTCTCGTTTCCGCATTTCTTCCAATTGTTGCTGCCGTCTGCGCTCTTCATCCTGTAACTAACAGACACACAATTTTAATTGGTCACTGACATGGGCAAGATGGGTCAAAAATGTACCTAAAAATGTAACTAAATACTGACATCTAAAAATAACTCATTCAGCAGAAAATGTTATGCTACAGATTCATTAATACAATTTCCAGTCATTATGAGTATGCTTTGTTACACTGGCTTGCCTAAAATCCCCAAGGGGGAAAAAAACCCAAAATACAGACACGCAGAACTACATACATAAAAGCACAAATTACACAGGGAGACATTTTTAGCAGTCATGTATGAACTCCCAGTAAAAGACTGAGGTGACTCATGTCCCAAAGAGCTTCAACAACCATAGTCTCACAGGTACAGAAAAAAGAAATTAAATACTTAGAACCAACAGCCCACAGCTCCAGCAGTCAATTGTTTTTTTTTTATTCTGGATTAGAATTTAAGCACTGGAAAATCATGACTCAGTCAAAGGGTCAATCCATTTAAAGTATCAGGCTCATTCAGCAAGTCTGCATATAGTCTCAGGAAATAAAATCTCCCACTGTATTTGCAGCAGATGGGTTTTGGAAAAAGAGAGAGTGAAGGAAAGAAAACTTTTGACTACTGGGATGAAACAGCTCACAAGAACAATTCAAGTCCAGACAGACAATACTGGCTTATATATGTGTATGATGCTGCACAGACAGAAAAATTGAGCACAATCCAAACTTTGCATGATTCATTAAAGCTAACAGTATATAAGCCCTTGATGGACAGGAATATTCACTGACACAGTAATACAAGTAGAAAATAACTGGACTACATGCTGTGTTATTTCTTACTGTTGCATGTTTTAAAGTAATTTTTTTCCTCCACACATTTTTTTAAAAATCCTTATTACTATAAATCAACAAATTATTTGATCTTGCTATAAACTGCATGTAACAGGGATACTTTTCTGCTCCTGGATTTTATTTTACAATCCAAATTCACTTACAGAAAAAGACCCTTAAGACACAAAGCAGTACAAGAGAGAAAGAGAAATTAAATATTAATAGACTTTGTAAGGACAACCTTCATGCAAGGTTGTCCTCCCCAATTAATTAATTAATTTTAAAAGTATATTAATTAAATTAATTAATGAATTAAATTAATTAATTTTAAAAGTATAAACAGTTTGGCTAATTTTCTTACAATTATTTCCCCCCATTGTTCATTTTTGAGCATGAAAGCTAAAGAACAAAATTAATTTGGTGGATGTATTTTAGAGGATATTACCTCCAAGTAAATTCCCCTTATCTAGGGCTAAAACTTTGTCCTTCCTAACTGAAAAAACAAAGATCAAGCACAGTTTGCACTGCAGAGCAGGGAACGGAGTAGTTAACCAACTCCCTGCTTGGATTAGGACTTCTCATCTTAGTTATTGGAAAGACATTATTTTAGCAAAGGAGATAATATTCCTGTCAAAAGGAAAGACAGCTTGTAATTCACAAGTGTTTATACAAGAGAAGGGACTTCCTCTTAATAATAAAAAAGAAGAAAAGAAAAAAAAAAAGGCAAAAACTGCATAGTGAGAAAATACAGGAAAATTTCTGTCCCAACTACATTAGAGAAACACCCTGAACATGGCAGTTACTGCTCCTCAGGTTATGGCATTATTGCTCAGCAGCAAATATTCCTATTCAAAAGCACTTAAATAGGAAAGAATTTCCAACTAAATTATTGAGAAAGTAGGAATAGTTTATTTAATTGCCTTCTGACCATATCTAAAGAAAGAAGGCAGAAGTGACCAAACTGCCCACCTGGGAACTGTTGTTATCATCTAAATCATAAGAATTGGGAAGACAACTGTATCCAGGTCAGAACCTATTCTAAACATAATACAGGAAAATGGCTAAAAATTGTATGGAAGGCAGAAGTGAGAATACAGCAACTATTAAGAGATGACATTTAATTTCTTGATGATTACTAACTAGTTTCTAATTTGGAGCATTCCCAGACCAAGGCAGGGAGCAGTAGGATGATGAGGTATGCCAGAGCACTTGCAGGCATTTGTGTCTGTAATTCTGTGTGTACAACAGTATCCAGTTCTAACTTTACCCCAAATTTTCAAGATGCAAAGGAAAATCAGCTTTGCATCTCACTTCTAGTGAGAGGGCTGTAAGATTCCCAGGTTGAGTATTTTGATTGGATGCTTCTCTACCCCAATCAGTTTTACTTTTGTTTACAAGTCATGTTTTCACCGGATTTACTGTACTACCACTATCTCCTCCAAAGCCACGTGTTTATATTTTAAGAGGGAAGAACAACTAATTCGTACAGCCAGAGTGATGGAGAAGAGCATTCTCTCAGCTGTAACCAAGTAAAGCAGCTGAGCACAAAGCACCAATTCTTTTCCCCTGCTTTGACCCAGTTCTACTGCAAAGTGCCAACTGTTTGCTCAGTCACACAACTTTGTCTCCCTATTGCCAACATATACTCGCAGCACTACTCCTACACCTAGAAGAGCAGAGAAGTCCACCTTTCCTCCGAGCTATTGCTCTTGGTAAAGGGGTCAGTGGGCTGATCCTATCAGGAATGTTAAGATATTCACAGGACTGGCAGGCCATTCTCAAATCCAGGACATTTCAAATTTCAGAAAATATTCATTTCTCCAAGCACTGCTTATAACATCCTAAAAGATGTTCCAGGAGAACTTTAAATTTATACCTATTTATTTAATGACAGCTAAAAAGCTGTGTCAGATCTCATAGGGCCTGGGGAATTTAAAAAAACAAACACTATCTAAGCTGATAATTCTTGTATTAACTGTTCATCACCTTCCTTCAGCCTTGTAATTAGCAGAACAGCTATCAACAATGCTCACCTTAGACATACAAAAAAAGCATCAAACATGACAACGTTTCGTTGTTGGTTTTGCGGTTTTTTTAGAAACAAAGTAGGAATTACTTGGGTATATGAAGTGGCATTGTTTAGATGCATTTATGTCTCAAAAGTCACGTGAATGGGATAAAAATAATGAAATGATGAATTCCTGCTGGGTGTAGTGTTCAGCTATTTTAGAAGTAGCTTGCTGCTGCCTTTTTTTAAAGCTAAATTTATGAACATCATAAATCATCAACTGATTCAGGCCATGCATCCATCTAGCCCAGTATTCTGCTGTCTCTGACCATGGCAAGAAGAGCTGCACATGAGCCTGCCCTTTTATTCCAGCATTCCCCCAGCATTTAGCAGATTATTAGAGAGGTCAGCTGGTAGTCTTGCCTAATCCTCTGAGCAGCTGTTCGCCAGCGTGATATCTATGCATCTGTCTAATCCATTTTTCAAACTGGTGATACTGTCTGCCTTCACCAACCTCCTGTTGCTGAAAGATCCAGATGTTTGCTGGCTGCTTGGAAAAGCACTGTATCTATCTAGCCACAGATCCAGGAATCAAGGTTTGAGCAAAAAAATATAGGTAGTAATTAGAAAATATTGATAAGATTCTAAGTCTGAAGAATCCATGACTTCTGGCTTGTCCTTAAATTCAAAAAGGTGAAATGCTTCACCTGTTCCACTGCTGTAAACTGTTTAACACTCACGAAACACACAGATACAAAACTGAACACCTTAGATTTTATAGGTTACCAGAAGTATGCATTTTAAAATGTGATTTTCATAAGGCAGTGCTGAATATCCAAATCCATATTTTGAACCGACACATTGACAGTTTTTCCAAGCAGCACAAACTAAATTTTACTAACATCCCCTTTCTTTAAAACTGGTAGACTAATTACACAGAAATTTACTTTGAAGGGAATGTATTTCTGCTCTGGAAGACTACAAAACTCCTTCTCCATGTCCAATGAGTGCAATAAAATACAAAATTAGCTGGAGTCATAGCAATTACTGCTCCAGTTTGAAAGCCTACCATGTTTTAGGTGCAAGAGAATAGTATTAACCAATTGAAACTGAAATTATATGGTAACTTAATGATTGCATGCTTATGCAACCAACTTGGAAATATCAGTTTGGAAGTGATTTCTGAGTTTACAGTCCATTTTTGTGTTGATGCCAAAACCAAACACCTGTAACACCTGCAAACAACAGGGTGTCCACATGTGCTGAAGAAGTATGCTGTATTATTAGGCTCTCAATACCATTTCCCTTCAAACTGTAAAAGAAGTGTTCTTAGAGCTCTTCTAAAACCTGCACGGGTGTGAAAGTGAAAGGAAGCAATCTTACCTCACAGCCTGTTCATTCAAAGTTATTAGTAAGATTTTGTAAACAAAATTGCACCAATCAGCAGGTACAGTTTTATGTTAGACCACTGCTGTAACAAACAAATCAAGTCTGCAAGCAGAACACAACATCTAAGAGGAAGGAAACAGAGGGAAAGGATCACTATATCTGAAAACATTCAAATGCATGCTTGCAGTTAACTTACTGCTTACAGTATTCATAATGATCTCTGAACACCCAAAGATGCCAAATCACCATCCAAAGCACATAGGACTGTTAATAATAATAAGGAACTGAAATGGGAAAGAGATATTGAAGAGAAAGAAACAAACATACCAAATCTAGAACAGAGATTGCTGGCACAGCAGTCTGCTGCAGGTAGTAAGAAAGGGGAAAAAAAGAAAGATGCAGACTGTAAATAAAGATAGGTTAGATATGTGATATTTCAAAAGCATTTTCTTTTATTTGTTTAGTTGGCTGCTTTAGAATGAGGAACTGAATGGACATAAATGTGAAATACAGAAATTAAAACAAATAATCCAAAATGTTTATCACTCATGCAACACCTCAGTAGATCCACAAAGATGCTACTTAACTGCATCTCTAAAAGCAAAATGTAATCAAAATTAAAACATGAATTCAGTTCAAGACAACTGTTATTTTTTCATTTCAAAATGTTCCAAAAAGCTGGAAGAACTTCATGCACAGTGTTTTAAAGCCAGCACTTCCAGAGAAGACTAATATTGTTATGCAATACAACTGGGTTTGTTTTTTTTTTTTAATTAACATGTGGGTTTCTTAGCCTTGCCACAGTAAAACTTTTAAGTCACTGTTTAGTATAATGGCAGTTCTACATGAATTTTTATGCCCACAGATAACTGGCTATGTGCCACAAATGTCCTGTTAGCAATGCTGGACTTTAGGGAAACCTGTTTGCCGAATACATATTTAGCTTTTTCTTTCTTCAGTTTCCAAGTTTGAGGTATCGATTGTTTTACACAGCAATAAAGTTAAGCATAAGGGAAAAAAAAGGAAAGCAATGCAGACTGCAGCAAATATGACAAGAGGAAGTTTAGGAAATGAAGCTGCCAAAACAATCGTGAACTCAAATCCTACTCAAGTCACTAGCTATTTCTGTATGTCAAAACAAGCATGTCCAAACATTTCTCAGGAATTAAACACTGCTTATCACAGAATTAAGTCAACTTTTCAAGACAAACACACAGAAGACACTGAACATATTACAGAGCTAGCTTTTAAGCCTGGAAAAGCATAGCTATTGGTATATAATTTTGGAATCCATGCGGTTGTTCAGGAAAGAATAGATTTTCCTATAGACACGTTTTCTCAGTAACAGTAGATTTAGCAGAGGAGGAGACAACAGCCACCAGCAACAGTCGTTAAAAATTTCACCATACTATTGAGTTGTATTATCTTACTACATATATTATGAGCTTTCACAGAACTGAAGCTAAGGTAAGCAATCCTCAGATGCTGATTAATCTGGACACCATGAAAAGTCCAGGCCTGTAGGAGTCAGAGCTCTAGACAGGGTGTACACCACCCAAAACCACACAGCTCAAGCAATGGTCCCTCCACTGTTGATGTCAGCACTGAGGGGTGGTAAAGGTAGAGGTAGCAGCTACATCAGACCAGCAAGTTGGAATGTCTGTTTAGCTCACTACTCCGTGGAAACCGTATGCATTCGGTGTCTGTGTTCATGACCCAAAACTATAAAGAAAAACTTTTAGAGGTAAATACATTGCGGAGGGGAGGGAGAAATCACACTGTTTTTATTCCTGATTCTCCTACAAATTTTTGTAATTTCAAATGTTTTTGCTTACCTTTCTGCAAGCAAACCTCTTTACCATATTTTACCTTCTAATCATATTCTAGGTACATGGCAAAAAACCTTTATCCAAAGGGAACTTTTCTCTCCCCAAAACCAGAAAAGTAAATCCAATTGCTAAATTGAATTCTATAAAAGGTAGCTTTGATACTTTTGCAATACATTACTTAACTGATGAAACCAGTCTGAGTTATTAATTTTAAAATTCAAGCCATTTAAGAAAGTGTCATTCTCTTTTACTCTCTAAGAACATCAAAATACTCAAAGCATGAAAATCCACCAAGCAAGAAATTTACAGTATTTTTTCCTAGAAAGGATTTTACCCTTGCTCTTCTTTCTGCCTCCAGTCGCTGCATGATGAGCATAGTATCCACCTCATCATCCTCCTCTTCATCATCATCTTCATCTTTTTGCTTTGATTCTTGCAGTCGCTTTTGGAACTGCCACTCAAGCATGAGTTTGCGGAGGCGGTCGTTTTCTTCCGCTGTACGATCAGGTTTGTTCTGAAGTTCCTGAATCTCTTTACTCAGCATGTCCACGATGTGCATCTGTTGCTGCTTCTCCAGTTTCTCCTTCGCATCCCGTTTCCACGGATCTGGAGAGAGGCTATCACCAGAGGACAGTTCTTCCTTGCTGATAGTAATGTACTGCAGATCTCTCCGCTCAATAGTCCGCGGCTGCTGTTGGGGCTGCAGCTCTCGAATAACTGTTTCTTGAGACCTCTGCAAAGTTGAGGGCTTTTCTGATTTCACTTGTTGAAGGGAGACAGGAGAAGCCACAGGCTGAGCAGAAATAAGTGGCTGAGAACGCATTTGGCCCAGTTTTCTCTCCTGCTCACGACGTTTCCTTTCTCGTTCTTCTTCCAAACGTGCCTTTTCCTTTTCATACCACCTCTGATGCTCTTCTCTTTTTTTACGCTCAGCAGCAGCTACCTGGGAGGATGCTTGTGCTCCTATCTGATTCGGAGGAGGTGGTGGAGGCAGAGGCAAATCCATTTGTAGTTCATCAAATTCAGCAGCATAATGCACTGGAGGAGGTGGTGGTGGAGGGGGAAGATCTGTTCTGATGGGCTGGGAAATGGCCACTGGAGTTGGCTGGCTAGTGGCTGGAGTTTTCCAACGGCCAGGTCCACTTTTAGTTAAACAAGAACCAGGCGACACTGGTTTGGAGGAATGGTTCAGGTGTTCCTGGCTAGATGTGCTAGAATCCACAGACGAATTCATCCACTGATCGCTGTCTGACTTCCGATCGATGTACTCCACATCCTTCCGTATAACAACTTCCGAACGATTCCTCTCTGGCTGGAAAGCTTTGTCTCTGAGCTCTTCCTGGGAACGAGCTACACGCTGAAAAATATTAAGCAAGGCATGTGTATCACAGTTCATCCACATTAAAACATATTTGAAAATGGCTTACAAAACACATTCTTGTTACTGAAGGTAATACTTTTAATGAATTCACCATTTCCATACCCAGTAGGTTTCCCAAAACCAACAATAAAATATTCTTCTCAGTCTTCTTAACTCATTCAAGTGATGGAAGACTTAGCAAGCTCCTGGGAACTGCCTGGTAACTGGACTGGGAGGAATGATGAATTTAAGCTGGCGTTTAAGCTGAAAACCTCCCCAGCTTGCACAGTTTCTCAGGACTATCCCTGACACTCCCTCCCCCACGTGTCAGTACAAGAGTCCTGGTAGCTCTCAGCAGTGGCTCAGTCATACCAGCTCCACCATTCAGACTTCAACTGGTTTCACTGAACATGTTTCCTATTGGGAAAGCAAACACAAAGGCTGCACAGAGAGAGAGACAGAGAGAAGACCGCCTCTGCCTACCCTCCTCCATTAACAGGAGAGATGCCCTGCAAGAAGCTCCCATTACTAACACAATTCAGGGTACAGAATCCAGGCAGGCAGTCTAGTTCTACCTGTTCCTGGAACATAAGTATAATGGACTGAGATTTTTGTCACTTTAGTGCAACACCAAGTCTTTTTCTATAGAACCTCTGGGTCCCATTGCACTGAACAACCACCTGAAAAGGAACACTGGACCATAAACCAGGATTATTAAATCTGTTAATGATTTTCTTGAAGCAAGTATTCATACTTCCAATGTTAGGAACTGCTAAGTACTGAACACACAATGCACCAATTATCAACAACTGAGAGAAAACTAACAGAGCAAACTCCATTTATTTTCCTCCATCAATGACCTTAACCATGACCTCTAAAGAATGCCTTCTTTGAGAGGAACAAGTGTATTTTTTATGCTCCATTAGTCCAACAGAACTGAACACACAGTTATTTGTGGCAGATTTGCTGTAAAGACGCACCTAGCCAAAGTTTGCTAATGCCTTCAGAATAGGAAACAGGCATTTAGCAGCTTTTTTTTACAAGCCCAGTTCTCTCTGCAAAGATTAAAGTGCATTTTTTTTATTTTTGTAAAAGTTTTTCTTCTGTTTTCTTCTAATTTTCAACTTTAAAGAACTATTGTCTGGCAGGGAACAACTATTAACACTTTCAGTGCTAATAAGGAGTTAAACATTCTATTTTGCTTTAGCAAAATCCTTTTCTGCCTTAAGGCTGTATCTCAAATGCAGTGTCTGTCAACAACTTTAATAGATGGGCTTCATCTTTACCAGTTTAACCACGTCATCTAAGCTACTCACTAAAGCTTGTTTTAGGCAGGGGAGAGATGCATATCCAGGCAAAAATTACCATAGAATTCAGTTAAGACAAATGGGTAGGAACCATTCTCTGGAGACACCTGCCTCCCCCTTCTGCCATCACTGACAGAAAGCACATAGATGTTAACTATCCAGCTAAGATTAAGTGAGATGAAATAATGAAATGTGGAAGAGTTAAGCATGGAAATTCAGTAAAATATTTCTGTATCTTTTGCCAAAGTCTTTCAACTTGCAGCATTCCCTTTCAAAATTACCGTCCTACTTTGAGCAAAGCATCTATTTTCTTAATAGCCCAAATAACGAGAACTTGATTTCTATAATACTAAAAAACCACTAAAATAAAAGTGACTTTTTTACTGAATTCACTTGCCCATACATGTGTAAGCAACCTATACACAATTCTTTCTTTGCTTACAGAATTTCAAGATAATTTACACAACACTTTTCCAAAAGTAAAAGATAGGCCTGGTGTAAGCCTGTGCTCTTATCACTAATTAAGAAAGAGAACCAAAAAAAGAAAGGAAAAAAAAAAAAAAGGCACTCTATATTGTTAAGTCTGGTGGATTAGAGAAAGAAGATCATCCAGTAACTAGATTTAGTAGATCTAGGTTTAATTTCCTGTATGGATTTGAGTGAAGTTCTCACTAACAGGAGCAGAACAACACTGTATGTGAATTTCTGTAAGTGCAATGAGTGTAAATTAATTCCATGTCAAGATGCATCTACACTTTGATAATAGATACTATATGAAATTATATATTTCTTTTTTTAACTAGGAGCAGGGAATGTGTTTCAGTGAACATCCTGGATAGGTCTCAAAGAACTATTTTATTTCAATTTGAATACTTTATCACTTAAACAACACACCCTTCAGGCAAACATTTTTCCAAATAAGCCTTCTTGGAAGAATGGAGATTTAGTTTGCTTTTCAGAAAGCCACAAAACTTTTTACAAGATGAACCCTACTACCACTTACACCCCATTATCTCTGACAGGGGGATTAAAATATCCCAGATAACAGGTCTGCAGAACATGGTAACAAATTCTGTGAAAGGAAGGGGGGAAAAAAAGACAAAATGAGAAGGAAAAAAACCCCAAAGCATAGGGTTCCTGATCCCAAGCCCATCTTGGCAAAAGTATAGTTGTTGTTCCTATCTTATGGTATAGTTGTAGATAATTCCTATTCTGATAAAAGTCTCTAGCAGTCCAGGAATGGAAAGCAAACAGTTTCTTTCTGATTTGTTTCCTCATACTGAAAAAAATTACTTCTCACCTGCATGGTATTATTGATAGAATGATTACTTTCTGCCTGAAGCTGTGGTTTTTCTTCATAATTTGGCCACTGACTCTGAGCTGAACCCATTCGATCCTGCGACTTTGAAGCTGGGAATGTGAAATATTCTCTAGTATAGGTCTGTGTTGGGATGGGATAAGCTTCAGGTCGTGGTGGCAGAACCTGCTCCTGAAAAAGGGAGAAAAAAAATAAGGTAGGATTCTCTAATCATATAGATCTGTATGGAAGATTGTTCTAAACATGCATTTTCCAATTATTTTCTCTTGGCTCCTAAGAGCATTACTCATCTGGGACAGGAGATGAAGAGGTTGCCTAGTATCAAATATAACTGTGAGGTTATGACTCATGTTTTTATGGTCTCAAAGCGAGTATGCAACACTGTACAAACCTAAATAATCACAAGGACAATCATGAAGAAAATTTAACGAAATCATTGAAAACTTTCCAAACCTTTCATTAGCTGTAATAAGAAAAACCCCACCCAGTCACAAGCACTAGCACTGTGGTCAAATAGTTCAGTAAGACACTGGTTTGACTCAAGCACCCTGACACTACTATAATAGATAAAGTTTAACAGCCAGCATTTTGGTTGCCATTTCTGACCTCTGTACAAAGATTTCCAGTAGAGACTGAGGTTATTTTGGTGGTAGTTCCAGATGCATAAGCATTCTTTCCCCCAGGGCTTGGAGGCTGATCTGTTGGAAAGTTAAAGGAAGCATTTACATGACAGTTAAAAATAATTTACAGACCTTAACAAAGACTTAATAAAGTAACAGTACTCACAAAGTAACTACTATTTTTTCTCTGAGTAGTTCTAGCAAGAAGCTTGCTCCAAATGTTACCACTACACTGGTATTTTATACTTAATCCATTTTTAAAAAGTCACCCTCTTTTGAATACAACAGCCTCTGAAACTACTGAAGGAGGAATCTATCCCCAAAAGAAGGATAACTTTTCTTACTTGCTACATTGGGACTGGAACGATGATCAGCCCTGTTCTTCATCAATCTGTCATCCCCTGGCAGCTTCTTTGGTTCACTGTACTCTGTCCATGGCAGCTGAGGACTCTCAGGTGATCCATTTTGTGTGGAATTGTTATACAGCTCAAAACCTTCACTCTTTGGTCGGGGTTTACCTGAGCCATGGTGGTCAGAAACTGTAACAGTTGGATATGTAGTTTCTCCTTTTTACTTAACTACTGCCTAGCATATGTTTTTTCAAACCAGAGCTACCTTGAGCTTATATTTAAAATTTAAGTTCCCAGTAAAGCAAATGCTACATTTAAAAATCTTTCTTTCTTCAATTATGCAATCCCAATCTTCTATCAAATATACAGAATTCCCTCCATCTGTATTCTTCAAAAGAACTTCTGACAAGATACCGCAACAATTGGAAAATCTAAATACATTATACTGAAAGGTCTGTGGATGACTGAGACATATGGCATCTGGGATGGTGTTGTCAACTGTGATAAAAAGGATTTGCTCTTTTAACCCATTCTTTCCTATATTGGTACTACCCTGTATGTAGAAAATGTCTTCATTAACAAAATTATTTCCTTTACAATAGTATCTTTTATTGGACTTTAATATATCTTTTGTTAGTACCCTGAAGTAGGATGATAAAATAAAACATTGGAGAACCATCCAAGAACTTCTTATGATCAGACACTGAAACTTAAGGAGATAAGTTTCACCATTTCTAGTTTAAAAAAAAAAATTCGAAATTCAATGGCAAAATACATTCCAGGATTTCTGTTTACATTTATTTCTCTCCTACTAGTTACACTGCACTCTGTGGTTACAAGGAAGACATTCTGAGAGGAGAGAAGCTCTTATAAAAGGGACAAAAAATGCCATTAAGTTTAATGCCCTTTATATTAATTATATTCCATTTGTTAAAACAAAAAATAATTCAAATCAGAATTGTGTTTAAATGCATAATTAACTTTTGAAAGGTACATGTGCAAAGGATTTATTAATTACTAGACTAGGAAAATTTCAAGCGGTATTTAAAACCAGATGAATTTCTGATAAGGAAGAAAATTTCCTTTTTTCTGTGCAATTACATTTCTTTTCTGATTTAGTGTTATAGTATTACTTGGTAAGATACCGTAAATTTTTCTATTTTCTGCATTCTTGTGAATGCAGGAACCAGACTTACACAGCTGTTATTAACATCAATATTAGTATCTTTACCTCGTTGCATCATTGGGGATGGCTGATTAAGCAGGGTTGCCAGACCATGGTAAATTGCTCCTTGTTTTGCTACTTCTAGTGTTACTACTGAACCTGTCCTAGTCATAAGTTCTGCTGCCCTGCAAAAAAAGGCAGAGCAAATAAAACAAAATTAAATTAGGCACTGTATTACTTAGTTACCCTTATGAACAGTAATCTGTTGCCTGACAAAGCACTCTTTTTCAGATTAATACTTAAAATCACTTTGAAAAAAATTACAAGATAATGACAAGAAGACAGGCTTATGCACACAGACAAGACCTACGGGCAAGTAGTATTTAGTCCCAGTTTCTGCTTCAAAGCTCAGAAGCCAAAGTATTTAAAATTAGAGTTAAAGACGTTCAAAACCAAAATCCAAATGTATAACACCATCTCTTCTATATAGATAACCTATATCATATGAAAAGAAGAGAAAAACAGTAGACAAACAGTTGAACTTGTTGCTAAGGTTATCTATAGGCAGTTATCAAATGCCAAGACAAAGCCTAAAGTGTAAAAAACATGAGCTTCTGCCCGTTTTGGTACATAATTAAGCTAACATTTTCTTTGTATAAAAACAACCAAGGAAAGCATTCCATACCTCTCCTGGGACAGGCCCACCAAACTTCGACCATCCACACTAAGCAACTGATCTCCTGCAGCCAGACGACCATCCTAAATATGTATTCAAGAGAAGAAAATTCATACACCAGTGCTAACATGATCTCCATTAAAACAATCAATCATTCACACAAACTAGTAAACAAAGGATTTTCAAGCATTTACGAAGTCTCTTACTACTTTTGAATTTGATGATTAAGAATATTACTAACCACATCTGCAGCACCTCCTTTCACAACAGACTTGACATATATTCCAAGTTTGTCTTGACCAGCACCCTACAGAGAAAGACACATTAATTTAGTTAATTTATATTTGATCTCTTAAGCACTCCACAAACTTTAATCAAAATTTTACTTGGCTAAGTAAACCTCTACTTTCTCATTACTTTCATATATTTTTCAAACTGGAGAAAAACCAACTACACAGAGAAGAGATACATTAAATTAAAGTCATAAAAAATTTAATAGTCGGTCTATTAAAACTGCAAGCTTTGTTAGAAGCAAAGAATTTTTGGTCTTAATGCAAGTTTGAAATAAAAAATATACATTAACTAAAATTTATATTTTAGAATTTGCTCTAGTCTCCTTCTAATAAGAAATACTTATTTGCATTTCTACACACATGTTAATTATACGTCTTTGTATTATGTTTTTAAAGAGAACACTGTACCCCAGTGAAACAAGGTAAATTGCAGACTGCATGAAAAAGGAATAGAAATGTATTTTTACATTCATTAGGACTGTAAAAGAGCCAGTGTAAAGGAACGGAGAGTGCCTTTAGCTTTACGTAAACAAGTAAAGCAGACATAAGTATTTTAGAACTGACAGAGCCAATACTTAAGTCTAATGCAAAACCATGCAATTTTGTTCATATAGCATCTTTCTTAAAAGTGTTCTGGTATATTTTGAAATGACTGTTAACAATGAACTTATTGCAAGACAGATATAAACACATACCAAGATACAAAAATTGAAGCATCTATTGAAGCCATGCTGTTGGGTCATCCACATGCTCCAATGTACAAGACACCACACAAATCAGTCCAAATGTTAGTATCACAAACCTTTAAATTGTCTCTTATAGTGTAAGACTATTACTGCTCATTTATCTACTACAGCAAAGGGTGCTGTTTTACTCTGCAAGTCACTTAGGAGAGTGCTAAGTATGTTTTCAACAGAGCACAGACTTAATTGTAACATCATTTTTCAAATATAACCCTCCAAGTTGCTTTGATATTGAACATACAGCTTCCTCCTTTTTTCCCCCTCCTCCTTTTCAACTCCTTCATTTTGGCAGCAAAACCATGCATTGCTCCCATTGTTATAATAGAGTAAAATAAGAACCAAGGTGAAGATTATTCCAAAGCTAGTGTTACACAGATGGGTCTCTACACAAGTGAAAGACCTATTTTCACTAAGTCTTAGGTTAATCCCAAATGTTTACACAAAATAATTCCTTCAAGTCTTATGATTCCAGATGAACATTCTACGTGTCCAAATTTTTAACAATAATTACTTAAGTCTTACTTATGGATAAAAAGGAAAAATGCAAAAAATAACTGAAATACGGATACTTTCTTTATCTAGAAAGAATACAAAGAAATTAAGAGAGTTTAGTTCCTTTTTGGGTTTTTTTTTAAGCTCTAAGGAAACATTGCCATAACTGCAGAATAATTTTAACTTTATACCAGAAAAATTGGCTAAAGTTATGAGAAACACAAGTCAGAAGACAGCTAGATAAATGTAATGGAAAATGAAATCATCCTTCACAAATCTCTTTGCTTTTCCCCCAAGTGACCAAGATGTATATAAGGAAGGATGTTCTAGCTGAACACCTAGACTTCCAAGATGGACATCACAAGATCTTTTAGCAGGAACTGTTCAAGACTTTCAATAAGAACGAACTTGTCCTTGTGTATTAAAAAATTTTGATTTAATATTATTCAATAATAAATCAAAAGCTGTTAGTTTTCACAAGGAACAGAAGTTTGCAGAGGAGCCCTAAATGTATGTGCTGTTTACCATGCTCCTACATGTTCCAAAAAAAGGGCAAATAACAATAATGTAACTAAATGTACCAAATAGAAGATTCATCAAATAAGTCAAAACCAAGAGTTGCAGATGGATCACACTATGCTGAACACTGGAGCAATAATGGGGTGAAGATGCACTTCACTGGTTCAAATTCAAATGTGAAGTAATGTTTCAACCTTCTAAGGTGCTGGTTCCCATCAGGGCACTGTGGGCAGAACCAGTTACCACGTTCCCTGGCTGGGAACTGAAAATTAAATGACAATGTTTATATGTCCCTTCCTCTGTTTCCAGCCACTAAGTATACCTGAAGACAAGCACCTTGAATTCCAAAGGGCAAAAGAATCAACAGCAACTCACTCACCCACCCTTGCAGTTATAACCTGATGTATTACATCTGTCATTGCAGGAACCAAACACCAGCTTTTCTTGCTGGCCACTGACCAAGGATAACTAGATTCCTCTGAAGTCACCCAGAATTCACAGCATTTTTATTCAGTCCTAACTTCAAAGGGTGCTAACAGGAATCTCTTCCTCTTAGGTCCAGAAATTCAGACAAAGATCTGTCTCATCAATGATTAGGTAAAAACAAGCAAACCTCTGGAAGAGCACTGCCAATTAAAACAGTGCACACATTAATTATGCATTTTTGGTACTCATTTATTTGCATCAGACACTATATTCATCCATATACATCACCCTTCTCATGATTGATTATGACTCCTAGGCACATTAAACAAAGTTGAAACCTTCTGTATAAGCCCATTATATGTGGCTTATATTGGTTTGCAGATAATGATGAAATAAATATTTTCAATTGCACAAATACCCATAAGAGTTGTTTCTAAACCGACTTTAACTCCTAAGTTTTAGTCACTGTTTTCAGAGCTATCTTATATCAGCTCAGAAATCTGGAAGCCAGCAGAACAGAAAAGAACAAAGCAAAAATCACCATGGTCACTAAAAATCTAAAACGGTCACATTTAGAAAACTGCTTAAAATTCTAATTACTCCCTTACAAAATGACACTAACAGAACCACAAGGTTCAGGTGATAACAAGAATCCTCAGAAACATGGAATACTTTTCTTGAGAGAACACATGGGCTCCTCAGCTCAGCAACAATCAAGGAATTGAAGGCCAATGGAATTATAAGTTGCACTGATAGAATTATTTATCACCTCTCTGATCAGCCAGTAGCAAACACTTTCTTACTTCTCCTACCACATCTAGCATGCTTCAAATAGTAAAACACAAACAAAATGCAACCAACCTCCACTCTGCAAAACATTTTCCGTAAGATTTCATAAATAAATTGGGAAATAGCCAGGAACAAGACTGATGAAAGATGCCGAAGTCTAAACAGAATCCAAGATTCTCAGTAGGGCTCTTTGAGGCTTTAGAGAAAAAAACCAAACATCCAACCATACCCCACCCCTCCCCCCCCCCAAATGCAATGCACTCTGAAATTACAGAAAGCTAGAAACCAGGATGAACCATAGAATAGTTTGGGTTGAAAAGAAACTTAAAGACCCTCTAGCTCCAACCCCCTTTACACAGACAGGGACACCTTCCACTAGACTGGGTTGATCAGAGCCCCATTCAGTTTGGCGTTGAATACTTCCAGGGATGGGGCATCCACCACTTAGCTGAGTAACCAGTTCCAATCCATCACCACTCTCACAGTAAAGAATTTCTTTTGACCATCTAATCTAAACTTACTCTTTTTCAGTTTAAAGCCATTCCCCCTTGTCTTGCCCTTCTAACAAGTCCCTCTGCAGCTAGCTGGCTGGCCCCCTTTAGGTATTGGAAGGCCACAATTAGGCTACTCTGGGGCTTTTACTTCTGGCTGAACAATCCCAATTCACCCAGCCTTTCCTCACAGGAGAGAAAGATCTTACACTTTTGGTATATTCATTGGCTAAAGGCACCACAGCTGGAAGATACTGTATCAGTTGGATTTTTGCTCTAACTGTGCCTATACTCTAACCCTGACAGTAATTTTTCATTATGATTCAAAGGAGCTGGCATTTTACTCTTCATTGCTTCTTTTCCAATGTTTTTATGATGTCTATGCAGTTTGTCAATCTCTTTCCAGTTCTTTCAAGGGTAGTTATGAGCAGATGCATTAGCTCCAGGTCATCTCACTTAAATACAAAACTAATGCGTTTTGAAAGCGCAACAATTGTTTTAAAATAAATCTCTGTTCAGATTACATTAAAAAAAAAATCTTTATCAGTTACCACATCTACTCATGTCTTATTAGGACCAGTGAGATTCTCCTCTAATTCACATGTCATGTAGCATGTTTCTAATGATATACATGTACAAGCTTGGGAAGACTTCTCACTAAATACCTTAAAATCAACTCATCACCTTCCCTTCAACTTTTACCCTAAGCTTTACAGTAACTTGAGTCCAAATTCCTAATTTCTACTGAAACAGACTTGATTTTGCTTTGGTTCTACCTTCCAGAAGGCTGCATTAGAAAGAAATATACAATTTTTAGAAAACACTAAAAGGTTCTTAATGTGTTGTCACCCATACTAAACTCCAAAGTAAATAAAATTCTCATACACTCCACATGGGTTTTCCTGTTTTCATTTACTGGCTTTACAATAAAACAAATTTCTTTGTCAACTACTCATTAAACTGCTTTTCTTTCAAAGGAATGTGAAGGTCAACATAATTAAAAGTATTCCCCCACAAATAGAGCAATAACATGTGTGTATCAGTAACAAAAGTATGATAAATCTTCTTTTCACTTAATTTTATTTTCTGCAGTCGTTAATACCAGAAGCATGTGTATCCATTTGGCTTTTAGTCCAAACAGAAGAACACAACTCTAAAGGAGTCAGATGACTATGGAAAGCAAGAATGCAGTCAGCATAAAGAGATGGCTTATTCCATTTCCCCGAGATTAACATGCTGAAACCTACAGCATATTTTCTCAAATATACATAACCAAATACAAAATCACAAAAACCTTTATTTTTCAAAAAATAATATAAGATATTCGACATTTAAAAAACCCTCATCCACTGTACCACACTTTCTAGTGCTACCAATCTACCCATTTTCTTTCACACTTCGTGCAACTTTTTCCTGCAATCCTTGCAGAAAGTAAAAGATACCCTTTGGAGGAAAAATTTGGGAAATCCTCCCCCCTATGAGTAATAATTTAAGGAAAAAACCCACTAAACTACTACTGCTGCTTCAGTTCACCTGGGTGACAATATTCCTGAA